GGCCATTCAGTAACATGGCGTGGTCACGGCATATTGTCACGTGCTGCTGTTAAGTGAGTGTGTGTTTTGAGTTATATTATTTTGGTACCTATTCATATGCTAAATTAAGCCAATTATTGTTTATGTGGAATATATGTTAAATCATTTTAATTCATATGCATGTATTTCTTATTTAGGCAGAATGTTTTATATTATTTATACTTTTGTGGTGACACGTTATGGGACATAATTCACCGTTGGGAATGTTGTGTTGCAACACGGACCCGTTAGTGAGGGTACCGGGGTTGTTGTCATTCATGCTAGCTTGAGTAGCAACAAGCAGATGTACTTACCTTGTCTTCTTTCTAATGGATAATAAAGTGTGGAGTTCCATACTGAACACACCGCCTCTGACTCCCTTTCATCGGCTCTACACTGGTGACCCTGACGTTTTCGTGAAAGTTTCCGAAGACTTAATGAACATGGCTGATCGCGATGTTTTTGTTAAACTGCCGGAGTTTTGGGAGCATGCTGCTGCGGCGTGGTTCGCACACGTGGAGGCACACTTTACCTCCGTGACGGGGACTTGAAATATTTCCACGTGGTAGCAGCGCTGGGAAGCTCCACGTCGTCCAGGTTGGTTGGATTTATCGCAGACCCCCCACGCCATGGCAAATATGAGGCGATTAAGGCCCTTCTCCTTAAGACATTTATGGCGCGTTTCCACTTCACGGCCTCGCTCGGCCCCGCTCGGCCTCCTTTGGCCGCGCCCGGCCTCGTTAGGACCAGCTCACTTTGTGACGCGTTTCCATTACAGTTTAGGAACCGGGTTAGTATCTATAGTAACGCACTGTAGGCGGAGCGACGCTGCTTAAAACTGCCGTGACGTCATCTTCAATGCGACAAAGCGACACAACACACAACAATGGAGGATGTTGAAAAGATCGTTTGCTTGTTGCTTGCTGTGTGGTTCTTTATCACAAGAAATAGGCAAGAGATGTTTCGAAAGAGGCGACTTGTCGCAAGACGAGGTATAGAGGAAGCTGACGCGAGAGTTCTGGCAGCCCGCAGAGAATACACGAGGACTCGAACTACTACTACTAATACTTCTTCTTCGAGACTACAATGCTACTTGGCAAGCTAACGTTCGCTAACTAGCAATGTGTTTAGGCTCACGCTCCCCATACGACCAAAGTATTTCAAGTATTTAATTAATTGTAGCTACCACTTTTACGTATTAAAATATGTATGCTTTTGTTTGTGTATTTCAGAAGTTACTTCGCCGCCCTAGACCATGTGTTTGGATGCTCGACCGAGCTACCGAGTGGTGGAATGTGATTGTTCCATCTTTCACACACACTCAGTGGGTGGAGAACTTCAGGATGTCTGAAGAAACCTACGTCTACCTGTGCAACAAACTGCGGCCAGCGATGGAGAGACAGGACACACCATTCCGCGTGTGTATACCTTTTAAGAAGAGAGTGGCCATCGCACTGTGGAAGCTTGCTACCGGCTCAGAGTACAGAAGCATAGGACATATTTTCGGAGTGAGCAAGACAACTGTGTGCCGGTGTGTGCAAGACTTCTGTGCTGCTGCAGAGACGTTGTTAGTACCGGAACTAATTCGTTCACCAGACCGGGAGAAATTTGCAGAAATGGCTGCCTACACTGAGAACAGGTGGGGGCTCCCTCAGTGTGTAGGTGCTATTGATGGGTCACACATACCCATCTTGGCACCACAGGAATACCACTGTGACTATTTCAACCGTAAAGGCTGGCACTCCATCATCCTTCAAGGAGTTGTTGATGGTAAGGGACATTTCTGGAATGTGTTTGCAGGAATGCCTGGGAGCTTGCATGACGCTCGGGTTTTGAGACTGTCCACATTGTGGGAGTTGGCCAGTCGTGGCAACTACTTTCCAGCTTGCACCAGGAACATTGGTGGGGTGAATGCTGGCTATTACATCCTGGGAGACAATGCCTATCCCTTGCAAAACTGGCTCATAAAACCCTTCGCTGACACTGGACGGCTAACAGAAGAACATGTGACATACAACAAGAAGATTTGCAGAGCACGGGTAGTGGTTGAAAACGCTTTTGGTAGACTGAAGGGAAGGTGGCGTTGCCTCATGAAAAGAAATGACTGTGATGTGAAACTTGTTAAATCAATGGTGCTGACATGCTGTGCTCTGCATAACCTCTGCGAGAGTCATGGAGAGACCTATGATGATGGGTGGGATGCACCAGCAGCAGCAGAGCCAGGGGTAGCAGTGGCACAAGGTGCAGAGGAGGAGGGCAGGGACATACGAGAGGGTCTGATGCGCTACCTGAATACATAAATAGTCATTGTATGGTATTGAACATAAATAAAAAAATAATGTTTCACATACATGTGTTTGTCAAATTATTTAAACCGAAATGTTATCAGAATTGACTATTTAGTAAATATTTGAATTTCAAGCACCAGTATTTACTGCCCCATAAAAATAATAATCTAAGCAAATATCAAAGCAAACTATAAACATAAATACAACAGTGTAAAACTCAGCAGAACTATATTCAGCTTCAAGGTTTTGTATTTTGTCATACGAACATAGCTACAGTGTAGTTATAGTTTATTTTGTTCTCTTCTCTTTTAAATATATAAGCAATGTGTTTGAGTCTAGCACAATGAGGGTATTACAATTGAGTAATTTTTACTAAATGTATTATTTATCATGTATTCTTAATACCATTACAAAATATGTAATGTTATGTTTTAGAGGACCTCAAGCGAGCAAACTCAATTTCAAACAGTATGCAGAGTTGTCCTGCTAAAGACTTAAAATGTTTTATTTAACCAAGTATTTATTCTCTTATTTGCTTTAATTGCAACAGATGATAAAGGTTTCACTGTGCAGTGCTTTGTGGGCGATGATGGTGTTTATGATATTTCTGACTGAAGAGGGACGCCTAGATGATGCCATCTTTCTGTGTGATCGCTGTTGGGTGCAATTATTTATCAACAAGCAATAAGATAAGTCAAAGAAGTACTTTATTTAACACAAACAAACAAAGTGTTTTCTTGCAGCAGCATAAAAAAAGCATGGCATTATACAATACAAAAAAAAAAAAATGATTGTATTGCATTTAAAGATAAAAAATATACAAGAAAGTACAAATGTAAATACGGTAAACTAGCCAGAGGTTATTGGATCACAGAGGCGGAGGAGACGGGGCACCTTGGCTGCCCGTTCCCACTAGCACCTGGCAAATAGTGCGCATGAAGGATGCATTAAAGCTCTCTGCGTGAGCCATCTCCTCCCTTCTCAAGGCGGCTTCCAACACCCTCGCCTCCCTCGCCTCCAACATGGTCTGGTTCATGTACTGAGCCTGCAGGGCCCGGTCTTCCTTCTGCAGGGCCCGGTCTTCCCTCTGCAGGGCCCGGTCTTCCCTCTGCTCGGCCAGGTTCTGCTCCTGGTGTTCCTTCTGCTGGGCCAGTTGCCGTTCCAGCAGGGCCAGTTCCTCTCCTCCTCGTCTCCTCTTGCCTGGGTGACAAGATAATTATATAAATAATAATTAGCAATAACAATGAAAAAACACAGGTACAGGTCACACAAGGATATAAGAATAAAATGTATAAACAGAACAACAGTAAGGATGAATTAAAGAAAGTTCTGGCCATAGATACTAGCTGCTTACTATCTAGTTACTTTACTTGTAACAGAGCATTCCCACACAGTGGTACAGCTTATTTTACTTACTGACGATGGATGGTCTACATTTTTTTTTTAAAGTCACAATTCCAGCCTATTTCTTACCTAGACCCACACGCGGTGTCGAGCTGGCACTCGGCGTTGGTGTCTGTGCTCGTGTTGGTGTCTGTGCTCGAGCTGGAGTTTGTGCCGTTGATATGGAAGATATCGACGCACCGGACGGTGTTGGTTCCTCCTCGCTATTCAAAACGTAATCATCTAGAACAGAAACATGACTTGTTAATTCCACAAACTACTGCAGCACAATACTATAAATAGCAACAACAACTATAGAAAAGACAAACTGAACGTAAACAATGGCACATGTGGTGTTAGCAAACACTAGCTCTAGCTAATGCTATCTGCCTTAGCTAGCTAGCTAGCCTTCGGGGCTCCATAAAAGCATGGGTTGTCGAACATAAATGTAAGGATACAATAGACTTATTTGTTAGAAGTGAGCTTTAGAACAGATAGGGACACAAAGGTTTCAAGAAAATAACAGAGCGTTAGCAAAAACGTACCATTCATAGACTCCAGTAACGCTGTTGCTGAGTCCAGGCCTCCCTCCCTCCCAACGCTAGCCGGTCTATGGCCGTAAATGCTGTTCATTAGGTCAAACCACTTCCAGTTTTTCCTACTGGCACCACTGGTGTTGTTATTGTCCTTTACCAAGCGATATTCACCCTTCATCTTTTTCAGTTTTTCCCTACACTGCACGACAGTCCTTGAGTACCCGCTTGTGGCCATCAGTGTAGACACCTCCTGAAATACTTTAATATTTCGAGTTGTCCCGTCGAGCTCCCGCTGGATCTTGTCATCAGCAATGTAATGGAGGAACGTTGTCACTTCCTCGACCGACCATGGTGTGCTTTTCTTTCCCATTGTTAACTTCTTAGTCCTCTGTTAACAAAAATGCTGTTTGTAAAAATGCTGCAAGCATCGCTGTATATATGCGACGCTAGGGATTATCTCGCGCGCCGATTGTGACGATTCTCTCCGACCAATCAGCAGCCGAGAGCGTTGACGTCACAAACTCAGCCCGGTTGTCTCTGGCCCTAGCCCCACGATTTTATGAGGCCAGAAAAACTGTGAATTAGGACCCGCCGGCCGGTACTAGGCCAAGTGGAAACGCAACCACAAACGGGCCGCTGACGTCACAGCCCTCTTAAACCGGGCTGCGCACTGTAGTGGAAACGCGCCATTAGCTTATCTGCTTAGGAGAGGGCCCGCCAGATTCTTGACATTCAAGGCCTAGGAGACAGCAAGCCATCTCAGCTCATGGAGAAAATGCTAAGTCTGCTGAGGGGGGAAGATCCCCGGATTTTGTTTGTGGAGACGTTCCTGCGCCCCTTGCCTTCCCGGGTTCAGACGGCGCTAGCCAACACGTCCATTACGGACCGTCCGGTGCAGAGGCGCTAGCTGTGACGCTCAGTGCCCCCTCACCAGTTAAGAAGGCTTGGGGGAGGCTGGACGCGACGGTGCCAAGCCAGCGTGGGGACACAGGAGAGTGTTTTTACCAGGCGCGGTTCGGGGTCAGGGCGAAGAAGTGTATCGCTCCCTGCAGTTACAAACCTCCGGGAAACGGGGGAGCCGGCGCTCAGTAGTGGCCCTGAGCGTTGGCAGCACGAGCAGGCTTCTCTTCGTTAGCGACAGAGTCTCGGGAAGCTTGTTTCTGTGTGACACGGGCGCTCAACGGAGTGTGGTTCCTGCGTCGAGGGATGACGTCGCTCGTGGGGGACACAGACCACGGTTGACGACGGCTAATGGCGGCCCCATTCGCACGTACGGCGCGAGGCCTATGTGTTTGTGTATTGGAGGACAGCGGTTCAACTGGGATTTTGTGACGGCAGACATTTCTTTTCCCCTCCTCTGGGCAGATTTTGTATGTGCTCACGGACTCCTGGTGGACGTTAAAAATAAACGCTTGGTTGATGCCTTGACGTTTTCCTCCCTCGTGTGTACGCTTGGCAAGGCGGCGTACGACGGGCTGTCGGGCTCGCTGTCGGAGGCGGACATTTTTCTCAGACTGTTGGCTGAATTTCCAGACCTGACGCTGCCCACCTTCTCTGCGCTCACCACCAAGCATGGGGTGGAGCACCACGTCACCACCAAAGGTCCCCCAGTCTACGCCAGGGCCCGGCGGTTGAACCCTGCTAAGCTTGCAGTAGCGAGGGCGGAGTTTTCGACCATAGAACGCCTGGGTATCGTCCGCCGGTCTGACAGTCCTTGGGCCTCTCCTCTGCATGTCGTTCCCAAGCCGAACGGCGGTTGGTGCCCGTGTGGGGATTACCGCCGTCTCAACGACGCCACGACACCTGACCGCAACCCGGTGCCGCACATTCAGGATTTTTCAGCGCATCTTGCCGGTATGCTGGTGTTTTCTAAAGTCGACCTGGTGCGTGGATACCACCAGGTGCCCATGCATCCCCTGGACGTTCCCAAGACGGCAGTGATAACGCCGTTTGGACTTTTCGAGTTCCTGCGGATGCCTTTTGGGCTCAAGAATGCTGCTCAAACGTTCCAGCGCCTGATGGATTCGGTGCTGTGGGACTTGCCGTTTGTCTTTGTCTACCTGGACGACATACTCGTCGCACTTCCGTTTTTGGTAACACTTTATTTTGATAGTCCATAGTTAACACTCTATAAGTCATCAGTTGACATTCAACAACACTGTTTCAACAGACAAGTAACATGCATTTAACTAACTGCCAGTAGAATATAAGGTACATCTCAAGTGTTGATTTATAGATTGTACAAAAAGTGTCTGTTGACTGTCAACATGTTTTTTGCAACAGGTTATTAACCGATATTCAACCTTACTATCTGTAGATTGTGTCAACATCTTCAAAATTGACAATCAACTACTCAAAATCAATCTGTCAGTTGAAAGTCAACAGGGTCATGTCGACTATCATCATGTTGATAATCTGTTGAGAGTCAAGAATCAAGATGTCAACTAAAGATTACATTACTAAGTCATTAACCATTAGTTGATGATCAACAGATAAGCAACTAAAGTTTAGTTGACTATCTGTTGATTGTCAACTAATCTAGAGTTGACTATCAGTATACTTTTAGTAGGCATTCTCCACTAAGCGTTTGTAGGCATGTGTTAGGACTATCCAATTAAAGTGAAAAACAGTAGGATTGAATGTGGTTCACAACTGTTCAGTGTTTTTACTTGTAGTATATTATTAAAATAAAAAAGCTTTCTTTCTCTGATATGCTGCATATAGTGTTTGTTCTACTGTGCTTTATAGCCTGGTATTGACTTCAGTTATCCAGTGTTCGTGATCAGTTGTGCAAAAGATTTCGCTTTATTCCCATGTCTGTTGCATATAATTAGTGGATGAATGTATGTGTTCTGTTGATAGGTTATAGACTTTCTACTGTTCTCAACTGTTTTTCACTTTAATTGGATAGTCCTAAAACATGCCTACAAACGCTTAGTGGAGAACCTACTAAAAGTATACTGATAGTCAACTCTAGATTAGTTGAAAATCAACAGATAGTCAACTAAACTCTAAAGCAGAGTTGGGTGTAACACGTTACAAAGTAACGCGTTGCTGTAATAATATTACTTTTGTCGGTAACGGAGTAGTAACGTTACTTTTATAATTCAGTAATCACACTACAGTTACTAACATTGCCCCGACACGCGTTACTTCGTTACTTTTATAAAATCAGTCATAATCACACTGACAGACAAGAGGGGTTTCCGCCGCAGGTTTATATGTACGTAATCTGCGCGACTTGCGCGTCCACATCTCCACGTGCAGTGCTGCATAAACATGGCAGAGTCAGCGATAACTTTCGAGGGGTGGAGGTATGCCCATTATTTTGAGTTCGTCCGAAGAATAGACAGGAATGTGACGGTGAGGTGCAAACTGTGTCCAGGCCAGAAGCTGTTATACACTGCTGCAAACACCACGTCAAACCTCAACAAACACCTGCAAAGAACACATGCTAAGGTGAAGCTAATAGCTAAGGACCGGACCCCCGAACCCAGAGTGAGGATGTTGTGAGTGCGCCGCCGCGGACACAAATTAGAATTTGAAGGACCGGTAACCAAAGCAGAGATGGACAGGCTTGTAGCATCCTTCATAGTAGAGGTAATGTTGCCCATTTGCACAGTGGAATCACCATCGCATCGTTCAGAGATATACTGCGCTAAAATACAGATAGCAGGAGACAGAGGACAGCCATAGTCAGAGTTATCTGGATCAGTCTTATGCGACAATGGAAACTGAACTAAAGAGAACATTTGAAACTTTAGCAGTCTGCGTGATCTGCCTGTAGGGAGGGGCGGGCCGGCCCTGTGAGTAAAGTAACGAGTAAAGTAACGAGTTACTTTATGTAGAGAGTAACGAAGTAGTGTAATATATTACTTTTTCTTAAAGTAATATGTAATATGTAATATATTACTTTTTTTTAGTAACGACCCCATCTCTGCTCTAAAGTTGCTTATCTGTTGATCATCAACTAATGCTTATGTAATAGTCAACTGAACTTTAGTTGCTTATCTGTTGATCGTCAACTAATGCTTAGTTACTTGTCGGTTTGAACGGTGCTGTTGAATGTCAACTGATACATGTCAACTGATGCACTGTTGACATGCTACTAAATGTCAACTGATGACTTATAGAGTGTTAACTATGGACTATCAAAATAAAGTGTTACCCCGTTTTTTGCTGGAAGGCCGTGAGTTTACGGCGTTCGTTGACCACAAGCCGCTCACGTTCGCCATGTCTAAAGTCGTCAATAGAGGCAGCTTTCCTACATCTCGGAGTTCACCACAGACATTAAGCACGTGGCTGGCAAGTCGAACCTGGTTGTGGATTGCCTCTCCAGAGTCGTCATCGGTGTCCAGGCCCTGAAAGGTGATGACGTGGGGCTGCGCCTGGAAGACGTGGTTTTCGGTGACGTGGGCGTTACTCTCCTGTGCGATGTCTCCACGGGCCTGCCGCGTCCGGTCGTTCCCGCCAGTTGGAAGCGTTCCGTTTTCAAGGCGGTGCATGGCCTGTCACACCCCGGCGGGAAACCTTCGGTGCGAATGGTGGCCGCGAAGTTCGTCTGGCGTGGGCTGAAAAAAGACGTGAGGACTTGGGCTGGTGAGTGCGTGGCTTGTCAGCGCGCTAAGGTGCACCGCCACACGAAGGCTCCCTTGGAACGTTTTTTGGTACCTGAGAGGAGTTGGTCCATTACCCTCCGCTCAGGGTTTTTCCTATCTCCTTACCATGGTGGACCGGACGACCCATTGGCCAGAGGCAGTTCCTCTCGTGTCGACGTCGGCGGCTGACATAGCCCCGGCTTTCATCGCAACGTGGGTGTGTCGGTTTGGCACCCCTTCAGACATTTCCTCAGACCGGGGTTCCCAGTTCACGTCCGAGCTCTGGAACGCTGTGGCGAGAGGTTTGGGGGTTAAGCTTCACAGGACAACAGCTTATCACCCTCAGGCTAACAGACTTTGTGAACGTTTCCATCGCTCCATGAAGGCAGCACTCAGAGCCGGCCTGACGGACGGCAATTGGGTCGACAAGTTGCCTTGGGTGATGCTAGGCCTGAGGACCGCGCCTAAAGAAGATCTGCAGTGCTCCATGGCGGAGATGGTCTACGGTCAGCCGCTGAGGGTTCCAGGGGATTTCCTCCCCAACGCATCGGCTCCCTGGTCGGTGACGGCCCAGCGGGCTTTCCTGCAGGACGCCGCTGAGGTTTTTACTCCGATTCCCACTGCCCAGCACGGTACTCAGGTGTCCCGGGTTCCTGTGGAGCTCAGCTCGGCGGAGCACATTTTCGTCCGGCACGATGCGCACAGAGGCCCCCTGCGGCCCCTATACGATGGGCCTTTCCGGGTTTTGGAGCATGGGGACAAACACTTTGTGGTCAACCTGGGTGGTAAGGCCGAGCACGTCTCGGTGGACCGGGTGAAGGCGGCCCACTTGGATTTGGACCAGCCGGTGGTGCTGGCACGACCTCCGCGACGGGGGCCCCCCGGCCTTGATCCCTGTCACCGAATTGAGACCCATTGTTCCGGTCCCGCCTCTTCCGGAGGCCGCCCATGCAGAGGTCGCTTTCCCGGTTCCCGTGCTCAGGAGTCGTGGGGGTCGGCCTGTCGTTCCTCCCCGCCACGCTGACTTTGTTCATGAGTGAATTTATCATGCATTTTAACTGAGAGCCTTGACATAATGTGACTGAACTGTATGCCATTGATGTCAGAAATAAACGTGCTGTGATCTGAGCAAGACGCTAACTTTGGTCCTCTCTCTACAAATTCACAGACACAGTTTATATGTTGGTTACACAGTGCTCCTTAGCCTGTGTAACACTTGCTGCTGGTCCAGATTACCCCTAGGTCTGGTGCCGGTAACACTAGCTTGACAGATATGAGTACTAACAATAGCATTGGTAATTGTTTACGTTCATAATTATCAATTTTGGGAGGCGCTTTGTAGAAAAGCATGATAGAATGGTTACCAGGTTGGTCACTTTCTCATTAGATTTAGCTACGTGTCCAAGTAAACCTGACATGAAAGAAAAACAGTCTACACAGCCATGCTAGAGGCTATACTTTAAGCTAAATGCTACCCTTATGGCGCATTTCCACTACAGCGCGGAGCCCCGTTTCAGAGAGCTGTGACGTCAGCGGCCCGTCTTTGGTTGCGTTTCCACTTGGCCTAGTACCGGCTAGCGGGTCCTAATTCACAGTTTTTCTGGCCCCATAAAATCGTGGTTCTAGGGCCAGGAACAACCAGGCTGAGTCGGGCTGAGTATGCTAAACTAGAGAGAGAATCGCTGGCAAGGGGGCTACAACTACAACAAGATGAACATATTTGACCGTGATTTAATTGTAATACACGTTTCAAAATGATGCCGAAGTAACAACATACTGATACCGGTTAGTAAAAACCATGAATTAATGCTTTGACAAGTCTGCAGACAGACGGCAGGCGAAAAACCTTTTAAAATGCGTGTTTTCTAAATGGAGATTGGCTAAGCTAACGCAATATATGCTCCGACCATCCACACTCACAACAACGGCCGATACAGACATAAATAAACCAGCGACTGTATTCGCCATGACACAGACAGTCTGTGGTTTGTACTTGTTTAACTTTTGTCTAGTTTCTGAACAGATATGAGGAGCTGTGAGCTGTGAGCTCCAACCCGGTATCACGGCAAGACGTGAACATGTGACGATCTACCATGCTGGGAGACGTGAATATGTCACGGTTTCGTCCCTTCAAACGTGACAGTTACACGGTATTGTTAACATGGCCCAACCAGTGGAGAAATACCCGGAAGTGCCAAGCAAATGGTCTACCGCGCCTATTGGTCGGTTTTTATTGTCAAAATTAGATGTTTTTAATTTATTTTTTAATCATCACACTTGATTTCGCAGATTTTCTTGTTGCCCTAGCTGGTCGACACCTCTTTTAGCAGAAACAAAGGCTACATTAATGTATTAAATCGATGTTAATCCATGTGTGTGGAGGCGAGGATGTGGAATTAACGGACGTGACGTTGTGCGATTGCGTTGCCAGGCAACCCAATTTACAAACTCTTCAACTACAACCCTAATTATATTTTAAAACATTTTAGAAGGCCTCACGAAATACTTTAATGTAAATTAAAATGTAAATGTGAAGGGGTGTGTGTAATGTGGTGATTGACATTATTCACCCACGGATCTATGGGTTGGGGGTATTGTTCCGCACGGACATTTTAGTTAAACGGACTTACTGTTGATGTGAAATCCGAAAAAAAATACGTTATACACCATAACGGTGCACAGCTGATATAAAAGGACTTGTCGTTTTTAAAGATATTACTGATTTTCTTTGAATATAAGAATGTAAATACTGAGTTGAGAGAATAGTCAGGGGATTTGGGTGATGGGAGACACATCTATGGATTCAGAATTTCAATAGCTTACTGTTAAATGACAGATATACCTTTCTGTCTGTGATGTTTTACAAATCAGATATCATAAGTAAAACATGTGAAATAATATAGCAATATCCTGTACAATTATGTGAAAACATGAATAAAACTACACATCTTCAGATATTATACATACACAAGTGTCCTACACTAATAATACAAAGTTATTATGGCTGTGTGCACCGCCTAGTGGTTAAAGCACGTTATTGAATTAGTTGTGTATATGATATGTCAATGATCCTTAGAAAATCTTGAAATCTTGAAAGGGATATGCAAAATAGCCATTATATACAGTCTTTAATGAACTATTAGTAGAGAATAACGAGTAATGAATATACTTTATAGGGATCTGCAGATAAATGTTTAGTCTTCTCAAGCAGCAACTATCAAATATCTCTCCTGATTGTTGGCACTTGACAATCACCTTTCCCTGAATTTTACTCAGGTGTAACTAAAGCCTGATTTAAGGGTTGTTTATATTTCATATCATTAATCAGAATCTGCAAAGTAACTAAAATAAATGTAGTGGAGTAAAAATACCAGGTTAACCTCTGAATTGTAGTGGAGTAGAATTGCTGTTTTGTTTAGCAATGGATATTGAATATGGAATAAAGGTTTTGACAAGACCTGGTGTAACAATAATCAAAAAGGACATTAAAAGAGCTCCAGATGTCAATGATCTAAACAAAACAGCACACCTGAAATGTATTAAATACTTTATTAAGGGCAGTGAATTCGTTTTTTCTGTATATTTTTCAAATCAGTGTTATACAGTAAGTGTCATAGAAAGTGTTACATTGCTATTATTATCCTTAAAATATATATTATAAAACAAAACCATTTATGATCTTTTTTTTTGGGTGGTTTACTAATGACAGTTAATTCTGTTTCTGCTATTGATGGTTTCATTTTTGTGAAAAATAATAAAATAATAAAATTCAATAACGTGCTTTAACCACTAGATGTGCCTTTCTATCAGCTGTGCACCGTTATGGTGCAAATACAGCCTATCTACCAATTGGATCAAATATAAAAGTCAGCCGAATTATTATTGATACTGCAAGGAGACGTATTGTGTGAAAATAAATGTAAGATGTGGTTTAATTGCTGATATATTTATGATCCACGTCACGTTTTCAGTTTTGGCGGCAGTGCTTCCTGTTTGTCCAGAAGTCTTCTCATCAGGGCTCTATAAATACAGAACTACGGCAGATATGTCATATTTAATGCAGCCAAACCGTGTATTACAATGCCGTTATGTGATGACCTCCAAAGAGAAAAGCAAGCAAACTCGGAATAAAGTATTATTTTATTTTTTTAAAATGTTTTCGGATTTCACATCAACAGGAGTCCGGTTAACTAAAATGTCCGTGCGGAATAATACCCCCAACCCATAGATCCGTGGGTGAATAATGTCAATCACCACATTACACACATCCCTTCACATTTACATTTTAATTTACATTAATGTATTTCGTGAGGCCTTCTAAAATGTTTTTAAATATAATTCGGGTTGTAGTTGAAGAGTTTGTAAATTGCGTTGCCTGGCAACGCAATCGCACAACGTCACGTCCGTTAATTCCACATCCACACCAGTCTATGATCCACACACATGGATTAACATCGATTTAATACATTAATGTAGCCTTTGTTTCTGCTAAAAGAGGTGTCGACCAGCTAGGGCAACAAGAAAATCGGCAAAATCGAGTGTGACGATTAAAAAATAAATTAAAAACATCTAATTTTGACAATAAAAACCGACCAATAGGCGCGGTAGACCATTTGCTAGGCACTTCCGGGTATTTCTCCACTGGTTGGGCCATGTTAACAATACCGTGTAACTGTCACGTTTGAAGGGACGAAACCGTGATATATTCACGTCTCCCAGCATGGTAGATCGTCACATGTTCACGTCTTGCCGTGATACCGGGTTGGTGAGCTCTGAGTGCTAACAGCTAACGGCTGTGTTGTTTTTCTGGGGTTCTCATTGAAGATGACGTCACGGCTCCGCCTACACTGCGTTACTATAGATACTACCCCAGTTCCTAAACTGTAATGGAAATGCGCCATAAAGTGAGCCAGTCCTAACGAGGCCTAGCCATACCGAGCGAGGCCGAGCGAGGCCGTGTAGTGGAAATGCGCCATTAGTATGCTCTCTATGAAAATGCTAATATTTGTATTATTTTGTGTCATTGTTTTAGAATGCTTATATTTTCTAATTAACGCTAACAAAGTTTAGCCTTGGCTGCATGTAATTAGTTTTGCAAGTATAACGTTATTCATCAGTAATAAAGAATTGAACAGATTAAACATTTGATGAACTGATGATGCCGCTAAAGGACAAGTGTGGCAAGTGTTCGTCCTCTGAGAGGAAGATGGATGTTTGTGACAAATTTCATGGCATTCAATCTTTTAGTTAGCAATTTAAGACACTTCACTTAAAACCACATTGCTAACTGTGGCGCAAGAAGGAACATCAGGATTGCAAAAGTCTGTTGGATTATCCTCTGGGGATCACGAATGCCTGTATCAATTCTCATGGCAATCCGTTTAACATGTTTTGAGATGTTTCAGTCTGGAATAAACTGATGGATCGACCAACACACATTGCCATTCAAGAGTTACTAACAAGGACAAAGAGATTCACATTAACATAATTTGTATTCAAAGTAAAATCAGGGCTGAGGTTAAATTCTGAAACTGACCGCATAGTTAAATAAAACAGCTTGTTCATGTTTTATGATGTAATCTTCCCAAAGCAGCTTTTTCTTTTTAGAATCAAAACCATGGTCTTTTAATGTACATCAGAATAATTATTGTTGACAGAGTCTTGGTAGCATTAAAAATAGATGTCCCTTACCTTTAATGATCAAACAAGCCCCGGGGTATTATGTTAAAAGTCTAACTTCAAAGTTTGCCGGCCCTTTGAATGGAGAAGAACTTCATAAAAACACAACCCTTCCTGTCCTTCAGGACTTCTCAATAATTCACTATTCATGACCTAATCACACATGCCAAAGTGGAACACATCAAGGGGAATTAGATCATGGTGTCCGCTGCAGTGTGTTAATGAGCTATCACTTCATGAAAAATCAACTTGAAGGTTTATTTATTGTTAACTCTTAGCCCTAGAGTGCCAATTAGGCAGCAACCGGGGCCTTTTGAATGCCTGAAAAAAACATGATGATGTGGA